TCATGAAATATGATGAGTGTCATGTCAAGTTTCCAAGTCTCAGCAATTGTTGGTGTTGGATGTAGTAGAAGCCCTTGTTCTTGAAATCCCCTGGTAACGTTGGCCAAGGAGCATTTTGGGGCAAGTAACCAGTCAATACATACTAAATTCTGGTATTATCATAACACTAAATGAAGTATTCAGTTGTCACTGAATTGCTTTCTAGTTTCCAGTTATTCCTGCAATCTTTCTTCTTTCTTTCATATCTTTCTTTGGAAATCAAATTGAGAAATTTTTGGACCAAACATGATAACTGATTGCAGAGAATCACAGAATGACCAATTTGTTTTTTCAATTTATTAGGGACTTGAGTCATAATGTTGCCTTTGAATATTAGGTATATATTTTTGTTGACCTACAGCCATACTGAAATAACTTTTGAATACCTGAACGGTCAGATTGATTCCTTGAGCAAATTTTCCATCTTATATCAGTCCGTCACAGTAGTACACTGGATAATCAAAAATGCTGGTGAATTAGCACTTACTGAGGAATGTGGGCATTATTTATGCCAAATGAAAGCATGCTATGACTTGTTCTACATCTTTCCCAAAACTAAGTGGTGGCCCAAAAAAAACTGAGATGGATCTAGGAAAGCTAGCTAGGTACTTTAAATATCCCTAGAACCCAAGAGGCCATTCTCTCCTTCATGTAATTCTAGTGATTGATTCTTCGCATAAAATGTAATTAGAGTCAGATACATGGCATTGGGAGTGTGAAACTTGCTGAGTTGTGGAACAGATGGCCCTCAATAGAGCACAATGGGAAACCAGTTTGAGGTAGCTGACCCCAAATAGTTGGGATAAAAGCTTTGTTGAGTTGAGTTGTATCCCGTGTCCAGTTTCTCTTAAATGCAGGTCGCAGTGACAAAGGAGGAGAAACATTTTGGATGGTGATATGCTGTTTTTGAGCCTGCTAGTAAGAAAGTGCAAGAATTGCAGTATCTGTATAATGAAACCATTAGCTTAATTCATATCCCTTGAACTCTTTTTAAAGCTTTTAGATGATAGACCATAGGTTGCTGAATGCGAGAAGAAAATTGCTCAGATGCTGCAAATTTCTGAGGTCGATACACTTCATTGTGTTGGTTTGCAACGAACTACTTATTGCGGTAACTCCATAACTAATTTTCATTTGTTTCTTCTGATTTCATGGTGAGTCCACTCGTCATTACACTTGTAATAGGACTTGTTTCAATAAAACTAATCTTTTCTGCATATACTAATACAAATAAGATGAATAAAATAATAAGCAAAATTAAAGATAACATGTAAAATAGAATATACCTAAATAGTGGACCAAATATAAGATCATGATGAATCACCTCTTTTTTGAGGAGTGTATTTATATTATTTAGCATTATGGTTGCCAGGGATGGACCCAGAAATTTGCTTTAGGATGGACACTTTAACTAGGGCTGGCTCCATAACATAAAGCGATTAATGACATTAGGCTTCTTCCACAAAGATGAATCAAACTCCATTAAAATCTAAACCGTCCATAAAAAAGATTTCATAAAAGCGAGACATAAAAAAAAATTCTAAATGCAAATGAAAAAGGTCATTACCAAATAATATTATTTATTACCAAATGCTCATATTGAAGTCAACCGCTAATTACTCTTGATCATACACATATAGAGATATAATAGATAAATTATATTTCTAATTGAGAGTCGATTTGAATAATAGATTTGTCTCAAGTTGTTTCTCATTGATCTTAGAAAATTGACATTGACTTGTATTTATATTTTATATCAAAATCGCAAAGTTATTAAATAAGAATTCAAGAAGTAAGCATAATAATACCTCTAGAATTCAATTGAAACAAGTCAAACATCAATCTTAGAGAATTAGAGTTCAATTGTAGGCCAATTACAAAAAATTTAAATTTTGAATTACGAGCACAACTTATTATATCTAAAAAAATAGGAAAATAATTTGAGGTTGGGCACTGGGCCCTACATACATCCACCAGTGCTGGTTGCATTGGTCTCAGAGGATCGTGAAATTATTTTTCCTATTTGTTTTTTTCTGTTGGCTGGGCTGTGGGTAATGAAATCAAGCTACAGATATTCAGTTATTCTTTTGAAATTATATTGTTGTCCTTCTAGTGACTGAGATATTTGCAAAATAAGTGAAATTATGCATAGCTTTGTAATGTTTGACTTTATGGCAGTCCAAAAGGCAGCCATATTTCGAAAATATTAATGTCCTATCAACAATATCATTCCAAGTGCTTGTAAGAAGCATTAATAGCAAGACTTTCTTATGGCATTCCTGATTTACTTTCTTGACACAAATGACTCGAAAGTTATTTTTTTATTGGGACTAAAATCATACATAAAGATGAGGAAATGTGCCCAGCTTGCTGCTTCAACACATTTTGTTTCTATTAAGTCAGTTGGGATATCTATGTTCAGTCAATTTTTATTACCTTGTTTGGTCTCCGTTAGCTAGATACTCCTTTTTTTTTTTTTGGAGGG